TATTACACCCCCTTTCCTGGTACCATCCATTGGATCTTTCTAGAATGCCAAATGCCTGATTTCAAGGCATCTCTGGTCCCAAAGGGCTTGGTAAAGACTCTTGTCTGGTACTTGGTCTGGCCCACACTGTGGTAAGCTGATCTTTGAGGGGTTTGAATGAGGGTCAGGGTCTGGAGGGTTGGCTGTCAATAAAGTGCTTGCAGACAAGCATGAGGAGTTTGGACTGCCAACACCTACATGAAAAAGCTGGCTGCAGCAGCTCATATATGAATCCTGGTGCTGAGGAGGCCTTCACAGGAGGCTAGCTAGCTCGGCTTACTTGGTGAGTTCCAGGCCCATGAGACTCTCAAATTAGGTGGGCCAGGCCTGGGGAACATCTGCAGGTAACCTCTAACCTATACACATGTGCACACACAACAAAACCGGGGACTCCCTCTTGAAGTCCTCTCCTTTTCTCTCCCCAGCGTGCCCATGGACTTGCCCTTCCGTCCTGGGCCTCCCCAGACGTCCTGAGGACTCTGTCACAGATTTCAGCTCTGGACATCAGGGCACACGTGGGGCCACCCAGAGCAGCAGAAAAGGCCCAGCTGACAGGGGGTGAGGTGTGGGCCCATGGGGTGCGAGAGTTGTTCTTCAGGTGGGGAGGAGACATATAAGCACTCTGCTCCTGTCACTCAGGGATTCTGCTGGATGCCATCCTCAGCAATTTCTCCCGGGCCCAGCGCCTGGGGCTGCCCCTCAAGATGGTCATGTACTCAGCTGTGAGTCCCTGGGAAAGACAGGCATTGCTGCTACATGGGTGGCAGGGGTGGCGAAGATCATGTACTCAAAGGCCACTGCGGGTGTCATCCTCATCTACAGTACTTATGGGACTGCATTACTAGAAACACAGGAAGGATGGGGGAGGGGGTCAGAGGAGCAAGACTTCAGTCCCCTGAAGTGTCTAGACAATCACAGAATGCCAAGGTGTGGGTGGGTGAGAGTGGTCTGGAGTTATTTCTAAGGGGGAACAATGTGGGGTCCTAATTCATCCCCCTTCAATGGAATTACTGCAGCATGACAGCACCCTGCTGGCCCTCCAGGGGGCCCTGGGCCTCTACGATGGCAACACCCCACCTTATGCTGCCTGCATGGCCTTTGAATTCCGGGGGAGCTCCAGGGACCCTGAGGAGGAAGACGGAGAGTGAGGATGGGTGATGGCTTGGCTTTGGGTGGGATGGACTCTTAGGAGGGGGGATGGGCGATGCTACTGTCCTTCCCACCTTCAGGAACGTCACCATCTCTCTCATCTACCGGAATGACACCTCCCGCCCGCCCCTGCCACTCAGGGTCCCTGGGTGCCCAGCTCCCTGTCCGCTTGGGCGCTTCCAGCAGCTGACTGCTCCAGCCAGGCCTCCAGCTCATGGGGCCCCCTGCCATGGTTCCTATGAACCTACCAGCCCCCCAGGTGACAGCCCTCTGCACAGGGGTGGGAGTGGAGAATTCCCAGGACCCGGGATTCACAACCCCAATGTTCTTCCTGCAGCCACGGTGCCCCTGCTGGCCGGAGCTGTGGCTGTGCTGGCTGTGTTGAGCCTGGGGCTTGGCCTGCTGGCCTGGAGGCCCAGTTGCCTGAGGGCCCTGGGAGGGGCTGTATGAGGGGGGGGGAACGGGTAGACACAAAGCACCCCCTCAGCTGACACTGGATCCCAACACGTGTGCTCACCTGCTGCTCTGACTTGTTACTGTGCTCGCGCGTGTGGGGATGAAGGCTGGGTGGGCCCCAGTTGTGCATACTCATGTTTCAGGTGGCATACATACAGGTGGCAGGCAATAAGCATGTGTGCAGGTGAGAGCCGCTAGCCTGAGACCACATAGAACCCAACTGTCCTTAAGCAACTACCCCAGTAATTACTTCTTGCTGGTGGCAGTCAGATGGGGCTGGTTCCTTGGGTCATATAGTACATCAAGTATGAATCAGATGGAGATAGGGGATCTCCTCAGGGTATTGACTAAGGTGGCCAGTGTCTTCTGGAAACCCCATTCTCACCACTATCCTAAGCTCTCCATGAAGAGGGGAAGTCCCTAAAGGACCTGGTGATGAGCCTGTACCCAGGATTGCCACCCCAGAAACCCACCCACTACTGACCAGCAACCACACTACTGGCATCATCTGGAGTCCCACACCCACTGTCTGTGCACGCATCACTACCCAGAACCCCAGCTGACACTGGGAAAGTCAATGGGGGTTCCCTGTCTTGAGAGGCTCCTATCTGGGGAAGTTACAAGACCTAAGATCGAGAGGAAGCTAAGGAGCATACCTTGGAATCCCAGGATAGCCTAAGCAAGAGGGTCAGGCTCACAAGAAAACCAAACTGAAACGAATACAGGATGCAAGGTAGGGGCCAAGGCCAGCCCGTGCTGTGACTGGCTCCCACCAGCCCACCTTTCCTCAGCAGACCGCTGGAGTGTCCTCTGGAAACAGGACAGAGGTGGGCAAGTGCGCCTGTGCCTCACCTGCCCCGGATCCAGGTCGTCACCCCGACTCTACCCACGCCGGGACCAAGTCAAACAGCACACCCCACAGAGGGTAATGAGCCAGCCATTTAATAGGAACTCACGAAGGCAGAAGCTCCAGGGCTGCCCATCTCGCCCCTCCCTTAAATCCAGATCTACATTGGCCAGGGGCCATATGTGCAGCCAGGGACACCAGACCCAGCTGGAAGGTGCTTCAAAAGGGAAGGGCATGGCTAAAAGAAAACGGGGACAGGGTCCCCAAAGCAAAGTCTTTACAAAAGGGGGCTCTCCCCTCCCCCAAACCACAGTGTCACATAAGCTCAAAATAAAATATAAAGTAAAAATGCTGCATTAGAAAAGTTTACAATGTTAAGCCTTTAAAATAGGGAGACTGGCCCTAAAGTGTCCAACAGCCAGTAAAGGCCCATGGAAGTGTGGCCTATATCTAAAATACTATGTAAGTGTTGCATTGAAAAAGTAAAAAATTCAAGATGGCCTGTATGTAGTGCTTTGGGGCCCATGTGGAAGCAGAGGGGTGGGGACCCTGATGTGGCCACCTACCTCAGCATGGCCTTATGCTCCAACTCCAGGGGTTTAACTAGAGGGCCATTAAGCACCCTAGATTCACAGCAGATGGCCACCTGTGGCTCATTTCTCACATGGACTGTGTGACTGGGGACATGCACACCCCTCTTTGGGGGCCACTGAACTTGGCACTTAAGTGCTAGAGGGACAGAAATGTGGGGAAGGTATTTGCCAAGCTGTTTCCTAGTGGCCTAGGTTGCAGGCAGCCTCTGTGCAATTCATCTCCCCACCTCCAACCCTGGGGTACAAGTGTGCTGTCGAAGCCAGTCCAGGTCTAGTCATGCCTCACAGGTTGCTCTTCCCCACAGGCTTGGTCGGAGTAGGGAGGTGGCGGGGGCTGCTCCTCAGCCAGCCCGTAGTTGGGGTGGCCACGACTGCGCTTGGCTTCTTTGATGTAGAGTTCCAGGAGCACCTTGGTGGGCTGCCTGTCCACCTGCTCCCGGGGCACGCCGTGGCTGAGCAGCCAGCTTAGGAGGTCCTTTCGAGTTGGATTGGGCCCCAGCATAAGCTTGGTGCGGCCTGGCTGGCTCTGGCGCCAAAGCAAGCCCACATCAGCAATGGTCTGGATCTCCATCACAGCCTCCAGTACCGTCATGCCACGTACCAGCAGGCTGACCAGCGAGAGCCGAAGCTCAGAGGGTGCTGCTGTGAGCAGGCGCCGCTGCAGGCCCTGAGTGAAGGCCACATCCTCTGGGGCCAGGTCCACAGGCCCCTCTGGATCGAGGTAGATCCACTCAATCATACCCAGCTCACGCACCAGCTGAATGCCTTCCTCCATGGTGGTCCAAGGCCTAAAGGGCAGCTCAGTGGCCTCAAAATGTAGGGAAGATTCCCAGCGCTGGCGCCAGGCCTGCAGCAGCCAGCTCAATAGTGTCTGGCAGCCACCCCCCCGCAGGGCTTTGCAACGGTAATTAAAGATGGCATCATGGGTGAGGTCACCCAGCAGCCCCAGCTCCCCGGAATTCAGGGACAGGGCAGGGCCTCCCTGGTCATATACCCGAAGGATCCAGGTGACCATGAGCTCATTGGGGTTTTGCTTGAAACGCCGTGAGATAGCCAACAGCTCTGTGTATGTGTAGTAGCGGTCCCCCCGGCCCATCTGGTTGGGTACCAGCACTCTCTCCGCCATGGTCCTACAGCTTCACAGCAAGGACAAGAGGGCTAGAAGCAAGGCTGATGCAGAGGCTGCAAAAAGACATAGGGCAAGCTAGCAGGTGACAAAGAGCCACGCTCCCACCTAGCATCCCCCAGAAAGGAAACCCCTCAGACCCCCGGATGTCAAAGGTCCTGGGGGCGAGCAAAATGTCACCACAGCGGTCAGAGCCCAGTGCTGTGCATCATGGGGGTTACCAAGAGCAGTATGACAGGATGCCTCATAGCAACCTGGTCCACTTCTTCGCCCATTCCTATGTCTGAAGGGAGCTCAGACCTGTATCCCCATCCCAGCCAGCCATTCTGTGCTTACCTGGAGGAAAGCAGGCTGTCTGCAGGAATTGCCTGTAGGTAGGAAGGAGAGGGGAAAGAGGTTGGTAAGGCACAGAAAGACCATGATAACCCCATCCACCCCTCCTTGTAGTAAAGACCCCTCAGAACCACAGGTGTCAAAGGTCCTGGGGAGCTCTGTGTCCTCAGGGTGATCAGAGCCCAGTGCTGGACATCATAGGGGTCCCAAGCATACACTGACAGAATTTCTTACCACACAAGGTCATTAGTGCTTAAATACTACAAGCATCGAGTCTAAACTGAGCCATCTGTACTAGCAGTATTAAGACCTTTACCCCACCTTAGGCAACCCTTCTGCTTACCTGGAGGGAAGCCTGGCTGTCTGAAGAAACTTGTCTGTTGGCAGGAGGGAAGGGGAAAGAGGCTGCTGAGATGCATGAAGAGCACAACTTCTCTATCCACTCCCATTGTAGCCAGGACCCCTCAGACCCCCGGGTGTCAAAGGTCCCTGGGGGGGGCACCATGTCCTCACGGTGGTCAGAGCCCAGTGCTGGACATCACAGGAGTCCTGGTAGTATCAACACCCTCCCTCTCTTAGGTTCCAGAGCCACTTGCTCTCCCAAGGGGGATGATGTAGCTCAGTGCCCAGAAATTTAGGCAAGAAAATGACCAACAGTTTCTGAGTAAGCAGTCCTCCTTAGGGGTCTGCAACACTTCACCATTTACATGTTTGTGATAGTCTTTGTGTCTCTACCTCCCAAAGTAGAGGGTTACAGACACACTTCCACACCTCACCTTACTCACTTATTTCTGTATGTAGCCCAGGATGAATGTGAACTCAGGATCCTCCTGCCTCAGCCACCTGGAATGCTGGGATTATAGGCAGGCACCACAATTACCCTTCACTGTCCACCCTGACTCCGCATGCTACCTTCCATATGCTCTGCTGCAAACAGACCAAGACTGCTTTGCCCTTGGGAATGTGGGGCAAACGAGGCAGAAGCTGGTCCTGGTCTCATGGCTCTGCTCCAGGCCTGTTTGGATTTTCTAGGATATAGTGAATGTGTGCCTCAGTGGCTTCTGCCCTTCCTCCAGGCCTATACCTCAACCAGCGCTTCAACCTGCCTGAGCTTGAGGCCAGCATCTCTTCTGCACACTGCAACTTGGAAGTCCTGACTTTGCCAGAGCATTCTGTGGAGAAGAAATGACACCTACCTATTGCCAGGACCTGGTGAGATTTGGTGAACTCATTTTCTACAAACACTGTGGCCATCTCCTCCACCCAACACAGTCTTGTTATGTAGTTCAGGCTGGCTTTGGACTCATGGTCATCCTACTCTGTTATGCCTCAAGTACTCACACAAGTGCTCAGTTATTTAGCAACCACAAGCATCAATTTTGTGCAGAAGTGAGCTGTCCAAAGATGTAGCCACATAATTAAGAACCAAAAATTTAGCCCCAGCAATTCCCATTTCAGGTGCTTTTTTTGTTTGTTTGTTTTTATGAGACAGGGTTTCTCTGTGTAACTGCTCTGGCTATCCTCGAACTCAGAGATCCACCTGCCTCTGCCTCAGAGTGCTAGGATGGAAGGTGTTACCATCTATCGCCGGGCTAAGGTGCTTTTAAGCCTCAAATGGGTCTGGGGTAGACAATAGGCATGGACACAGACTACAGGCACCAGGTCTCCCTATCCAGCTGTATTCTCTCTCTCTTTCTGATTCCATGTGTTCAGTGGTATGCAGGACACCTAGTTACTAGCCCAAGCCCAGTATAGTCAGATATAAAATATCTCAAGGTGAACAATATAGCCATTGTTCTCCCTGTCCCCAACACCCAAAAAACAAGGAGAAATTCTCCTAGAGCTGAAAACTTGTTCTCTTTCAGATAACACACTCCTGTTTTCTGATAAATATTATTTCAACAACGACTCCTATGTAAATTCAAGGCGCTTTTTTTTAATCATTTTTATGTACAAATGATTTGCAAGGATTTGCTAGAACATTTGCTCAAATGTTCATTGTATTCAGTCCAAAATCCAGGGGGCAGATGATAGTGCTGACAGCCATTCCCCCCTTCCCTCAACTGAGTTTGAAAATCAGGCCCTTTCTGCACCTTACCAACTCTTACCCCTAAAAGGCAGGAAATACTGCCACCGCCCTTGATGTATCTGCTTCATCTAGCACCTAGATTTAAGTGGGATGGCTTACTGACCAGTATGGAGTTATGAGCAGCAGGGTTGGAATCTTTACCAACTAGCTGACTGGTGTTGTGAGAATTTTAATATGTAATACCTGGGGCTGGAGAGATGGTTCAGAGGTTAAATGCACTTGCTGCTCTTCCAGAGGTCCTGAGTTCAATTCCCAGCAACCACATGGTGGCTCACAACCATCCGTAATGAGATCTGGTGACCAGATATACATGGAAGCAGAATGCTGTATACATAATAAATAAGGTGGACTTTGGGGAGCCACCGTCAAGGGCCCTACCCTGCCTGAGGAGTGGAGAGAGGGTGGGGTGGGGGGCAGGTGGGGGACTGGGAAGGGAGGGAGAAGAAGAAGCAAGCTTGTTCCTAATTTGAACTAATAAAAAAAACAAGGAAAAAATATGTAACACCCCCATAATATCACTGGTCCATCAAATCCCAAATTACAGAAAGTCATTGAAGAGGAAGGTACACTATTTTAGGTGTAGAAAGATCAAGAAGTAAAGGTTCTCACCACAAAGAGATGATGGTAGATGGCGACTTGGCTTCAAGATACACCTGTAAATACAGGAAGGACTTGGTGAGGGTGTTATGTGTGGAGACAGGCCACAGATATAGAACATCAAAACTAGAGCCCCTCAGACCCTCAGGTGTCAAAGGTCCTGGAGGGGCACTGTGTCCTCAAGGATGATTGGAGCCCAGTGCTAAACATCATGGGAGCCTCAGACCTTCTGCAATGTCAAGGCTACTTGCCTTCCAGGATGGTGGCCAAGCTATAAACACAAAATCCACTAGATGCTCCAACTTCCCCAGTGACACAGGTCCATAGAGATTTCCTATGGACCCACGGCATGAAGAGGACTCTGATGCTCCCTGTCTTGGCTGTATCTGCTAGTAACCTTGAAAACCAAAACCTGTAAAGACACAAATCCCTCTGAAGAACCTGGTGGGAGGAACTGAGGGGATGTTCTATGGAAAAAACAAAACAACCACACACATTAAACAAACAAAAAACCCAAAACCAAACACTAAGATATAAACAAGGCCCTTACTCAGCCAGATTTGAACCACCCTGTGAAAGATATCTGGGAGATGACTTCACAAAGAAACAGTAGGATCCCAGGAGGAAAGAGTGTAATTAAGTGTGATAATAGTATTGACCAGGAGGCAGAAAAACGCAGTTTTAGAGGCGAACGTGTGGTCAAAGTATTTTGGGTGAAATATGTGATTTGCTTTCAAAATTCAGGTAGCTGATATGACATGCTTGTACCACCAGGTCCAACATTGCCATCAGTACTCTTGCAGGTGAAACAAGGCCTGGCTTCCTTTCTCCTGTCTACTCCTACCTGCTGCTCCGAAGCAATCCAGGCCTCCACGTGCACTCACTTCCGCCTCGGAAACTCCGTATCTTGTATCTGCCCCTACACCCCATCCTCCTCCAGCCCTCAAGTGTTCTAGGTGGCACAAAAATGTCAAAATCCCACACGGGGGGAGGGGCGGTGGTAGAGATCTCCCACGGAGAGAACCTGCAGGTAGCACCGGGCTGTCATTGGGAGGAAGATTCTATGACACACACCCCCCCTCCCTGTCGCCTAAAAACGGGTAAGATGGCGGACAAGACCCGCGACGTGAGCAGCAGAAATGGCGTAGCCCGGCTGAGGAAGGCACAGACAAAGAAAGGCCCGTCCCGGCATCCCCAGCTCCACACACCTGGCGTCAGGCATCGTCCCCGCAAGTGCCCGCACCCGCCCCTTCAGGGGACACCCGGGTTTCATCCCCAGCACC